CCGGTGGGGATCCCGGTTCCAATCCCCGTGCGATCCCCGGTGCCGCTCCGGGGCCACGTCCTGGTGGGAATCCTCGGGCACGTCCCGGTGCAAGCCCCGGTGCCATCCCGGGGGCAAATCCTCCTGGGAATCTCGGTCCGAATCCAGGTCCAGATCCTGGTGGGGATCCCGGTCCGGATCCCGGTTCAGATCCTGGTGGGGATCCCGGTCCGGATCCCGGTTCAGATCCTGGTGGGGATCCCGGTCCGGATCCCGGTCCGGATCCCGGTTCAGATCCTGGTGGGGATCCCGGCCCGAATCCCGGTTCAGATCCTGGTGGGGATCCCGGCCCGAATCCCGGTCCGAGCCCCGGTTCCAATCCCGGTTCAGATCCCGGTCCGGATCCCGGTCCCAGTCCCGGTTCAGATCCTGGCGGAGATCCCAGTCCGAATCCCGGTCCAAATCCCGGTCCCAGTCCCGGTTCCAATCCTGGTGGGGATCCCGGTTCGAATCCCGGTCCGAGCCCCGGTTCCGATCCCAGTCCGAATCCCGGTCCGAGCCCCGGTTCCAATCCCGGTTCAGATCCCGGTCCCAGTCCCGGTCCCGATCCTGGTGGGGATCCCAGTCCGAATCCCGGTCCGAGCCCCGGTTCAGATCCCGGTTCAGATCCCGGTCCGGATCCCGATTCAGATCCTGGCGGGGATCCCGGCCCGAATCCCGGTTCCAATCCCGGTCCGAGCCCCGGTCCCAGTCCCGGTTCAGATCCTGGCGGGGATCCCGGTCCGAGCCCCGGTTCCAATCCCGGTCCCGATCCTGGCGGGGATCCCGGTCCCAGTCCCGGTCCAAATCCCGGTCCGGATCCCGGTCCCGATCCTGGCGGGGATCCCGGCCCGAATCCCGGTTCCAATCCCGGTCCCAGTCCCGGTTCAGATCCTGGCGGGGATCCCGGTCCCAGTCCCGGTTCAGATCCTGGCGGGGATCCCGGTCCCAATCCCCGTGCAATCCCCGGTGCCTTCCCGGGGCCAAACCCCTCTGAGGATCCCAGGGCGAGCCTGGCTGCGAGCCCGGGCGGGGATCCCGCTCCAAATCCTCCGGCGCGCCGCTCCGCTGCCGCTCCGCTGCCGAATCCCGGGGCGACGCTTCGCCTCCGCCGGTCCCGTCCCGCCGCCGGTCCCGGGCGCTCCAACCGCGCCGGGTCCCCTGGGGCAGCTCTGGCTGTGCCCCGAGGCGGCGGGGAGGGGTCCCGGGCTGTGCCCCGAGGCGCCGGGGAGGGGTCCCGGGCTG